CAGCCGTTTCTGTCAAGAGCTCCCTCAGCCCCACCTACCTCACAAGGGTGTCTGTTGTGGGGAGGGGAAGGAGTTTGTAAGCCGCTCTGAGACACCTTTGGGTGGTGAAGGGCGGGGTATAAATCCAATCTCTTCTTCTTCTCTTCTTCTTCTCTTCTTCTTCTTCTTCTTCTACAACTGATCCCCAGCTGACAGAGACCAGCCCCCCTGGAGAAAATTGCTGCTTTGAAGGGTGGACTCTGTGATGTTGGACCATGCTGAGGCCCCTCCGCCCCTCCCCAAACCCCGCCCTCTCCTGGATCCACCCCCCAAAGTCTCCAGGTATTTTCCAACCCAGGCCTGGCAACCCTACTTTGGGGGCAAATGGGGAATTCAGCACAGATCTCTTCCATCCTCATCGAACACTCAGGGTAGGTGGCCAGCTCTGGACTGGGAAATAGTTGGAGATTTTTGGGGCTGGAGCCGGGGGAGGGCGGGGCTTGGGGAGGGGAGGGACCTCAGTGCGGTGTAAGGCCATACAGTCCCCCCTCCAAAGCAGCCATTGTCTGTCTCCAGGGGAACGGATCTCTGTCGCCTGGAGACCAGCTGTAATTCAGGGAGATCTCCAGCCACCACCTGGAGACTACAAATTATGAGAGCTCACGGGGGAAGCTGATCAGCTGATACAAACAACCGTGATATAGTTACTAAGAACTTTTTTAATGTACATTTCTATGCAAATCTCTTTTACTCCTTAGACCTTTTAAAGATCTCTAACAATAACAGAGACTCGGACGACTGGAAGTTCAGAGTGACTTATATGGACCGGCGTTCGAACCAGGCACTTTAGTCAATATGGAAGAATTACATCTACTGTAAGCAGGGCTATTTTGGGGCAGGAACACACAGGAACGGAGTTCCAGCTGGCTTCAGAGTTGGCCACACCCACTACAGCCAAAAGCTCTGCACGTGTGGCTACAGAGAGAAGGCCTGGAAAGCGACCCCCCCATGACTCCGAGGTGGGTGGGCCGGGGGGGGGCCCTGGAAGGATCAGGGAGGCATTTAAATGCCTCCCCATGCCTTCCCCGGCCTGTCCAAGGGCCAGCTTGCCCGGGCTCCCCGCAGCTGCAGGGCTCCCCAGCAACCCAAGGGAAGGCATGGGTGTGGCCTGATAGGCTAATGAGCTTCTGCTGTTGGGTGTGGCCTATTATGCTAATGGGTTCCTGCTGGGCTTTTTCTACAAAAAAAGCCCTGACTGTAAGGTTCTTGGGTATCTATTATCGTTAAAGATCTTTATAAGGTCTAAGTAATATAAAACATTTGCATAGACATTTACATAAAATAAGTTCTTAGCAACTATCTCATGGTTGTTTGCAGGTTTTTTGGGGGGTGGGGAATGCACCGGAACAGAGTCCCGGAACCTCTTTGACAAAATTCTTTTACAAATGTTTAAAAGTTCATGAGTTTTCAGTATACAGATAGAAAACTTCATTCCCCTCTTGAGAGTTCTGGCACCTTCCTCTTCCTCTTCTTCCTCCTTCTCCTCCTCCTCCTCTTCCTCCCCCTCCCCCATGGTTGTTAATATTGATTGATCACCACCTGGCGACTGGCAACCGTAGTCCTAAGGACACTTTCTTGGGAATAAGCCCCCCTTTTAATAAATTAGGACTTACTCCTGACTAGGCAGGGTTGCTTCTTCAAACCACTTCATCACGAGCTCTGATGCCCGAAGCCTCGACTCTACCTAACTCCTCTTCTTGGCTTAGTTCCAAACTTCCAGTGCGACTCCTCTGCGACGACCGATATCATCCTTCTGGTGGACGGCTCCTGGAGCATCGGCCGCAACAATTTCAGGCTCATCCGAGAATTCCTGGCTGCGCTGGTGGCGCCGTTCAACGTTGCTGAGGACAAGATCAGAGTCGGTAAGGGCCTTCTCGGCACCCGGCCTCCACGTTCAAGGATGGAACAAGATCTCACATCACTTACCTGTGGGAACGTAGGTGTGTCGATTCAGAGCTGGATGGGCTTTTAACGCTTGGTGCAGTGGACCATGTGCGAAACTGAAGCGTGCAGGCAGTGAACCTCAAACTAGTATGGTGAGGATTCTATTGAAATCATTGAGCTGTGCCCAGGGCCGGCTCAAAGTGTTTCTGCGCCCTAGGCGAGGCTGCCTTGTGGCGCAGATGCCAACCTCCCGATGGGGCCTGGAGAACTCTAGAGCCAGCCACCCTTTTGCTACCGCCACCACCGCCTCCCCCCCCCGCAGCTGTCAGACCCAGTGAGCACGCCCCACATGTTCCTGCAGCGCCTTCCAAGATGGAAGAGAGATTTCTCTCGTGCTCCACTTCTGAAGGCAGTTTGGGAGGGAGGTGGGGGGATCCTGTCTCCAGGCGGGGGATGCTCACCGGGTGCCTCTCCCCAATTAGCGAAGTGCTGACACTTGGAGAGCTGCTTGCGGGCTTTTGGCGGGGGGGGGAGGCACAGCTCTGCTCCCCATCCAGGGCCCAGCACTCTAGGCGAATGCCTAGTTCGCCTAGTGGGTGAGCCGGCCCTGGCTGTGCCTATGTTATTTTGGAAATCGGGTTCTGTTTAGCCAGCTGGTGTTGAAAAGGATTGAAACGTCTTGATTTATACCAGGGAGAGATGTAGGGCTGTTGTTCTTTCCTGCTGCAATCATTTTCTGTTTGTAGGTCTATGAACACTATTTATATGGGGGACTACAGAGGAGCCTACGGTTGGATTTGAACACATTCTTTTTTTTGCCAATAATGTATTATTGATATGAGCAATCTGTTGGATGTATGTTTATGCATTTAATTGGGTGATGACCACTGACCTATCTTTGCACTTTAATGAACGTAATATACAGTTTTGATCATATATAGTTGTGAATTGTTGATGGTCTTCCATTGGTGGGTGTTATTTGTGACTATACTCATCAGGAAGCCTTGCTCAGCAGGACTGCCTTAGGGCTGCTGCTGGCCCAGCCTTCCTGATGCCTTTAAACACAGTCCTTCCCCCCCCCTTACACCAGATGGGTGGGTGTTTGTCAGGTGTAAGAGTAGGGCCAGGGTACTTTAATCCATCAGGGAGGCCGCCCCAGCAGGATCACCTTAGCGATGCTGCTGGCCCAGCTTAGCCACACTCCCACCCACTATGGAAATATACCCCAAATTTGTAGAAAAGTGGTTTCCTGTATTAGGTTATTCAACTTCTCAAAATGTGGGTTCTAGAAAACTGGTTCATATGAACTTGCTGCTCAGATGTTGTTTTGAATATGTAGTTACGTCCCATTGCTTAAATGTAACATAAATAAGAAGCATTTTTGTAAAAAAAAAAGAAAGAAAAAAGTATGTCCTGCACACACACACCCAAATCCAATGCCCAGGCCAACCCCCTGCACCAAGAAACCCAAAATAAGGGAGTGCATTCCTACCATGATGTCAACCCCCACTACAAAGAGATTTCTGAGAAACACGACCCCTAAGGAGGTAAAAAAGGGGGAAAATGTGTCCCCCCCATTGTTTTCTATGTGCCTGGCAGGCTGCTGCCTCCCCCCCCCCATTGGTCAACTGTGTAGTTCAGAGTTCTGAGGTAAAACCTGCCTGCTGGCACCCACCTCCCTCTGATTGCTCAGCTGTGGATCTCAATGTTCTGAGGTAAAAACACAGTTAAAAGCAAAGCTATTTTTGGGCAGGAACGCACAGGAACGGAGTTCTGGCTGGCTCCCGAGTTGGCCACACCCAGCAGGAACCCATTAGCATAATAGGCCACACCCAACAGCACAAACTCATTAGAATTGGCTACATTAGGGGTGTGTGGCCTAACATGCAAAGGAGTTCCTGCTACAAAAAAAGCCCTCTGGGTGTTGACAACAAGGTAAACAGAATAAGAAGCAAAAGGTGGGTGTGACTGGATGACCACACTTCTGGTAATATGGGGGTGTGGCCTAATATGCTAATGGGCTGTGCTGTCAAGGGTGTGGCCTAATATGCTAATGAGTGTCTGCTGTTGGGTGTGGCCTATTATGCTAATGAGTTCCTGCTGGGCTTTTCTACAAAAAAAGCCCTGGTTAAAAGAGACTGCAGACAGTTGACGACAGTTACAGAAATCAGTGATTCAAGACTCCTGAATAGGTATTGCTCATAACAGCCAGCATGGCAATTGAGTTTCTGAATGTTCATGGGGAGATAGTAAAGGGCCTTTCTAGGAGTCTACTCCAGAGTGAGCTCACCAAGCAGCCTGGTGATCCTAGCACCTGAGGGCAGAACCCCCACTGTGGTCTTTTTTTAAAAAAAAAAACAACCCTCTTTATTCGGATATCACAATAGGTAAATTTATAATTCATGTAAAAAGAAATCTCATATCCTTTTTTCTTCCATATTCCCCTCCCCCTTCTGACTTCCCGCAGTGCTCAAACTTCTCATTCCCCCTTAGGTCAACCCATTTCCCAATTCTTTAATAATATATATTTATTACAGGTACCATATCTCTTTATCTATAGATCTATATATACATTTAAACTTAATCTAGATAGCTCTCAGTCTTAATAATCGTCTAAGCAAAATACATTGTTTTTAACATCCCAATATTTCTCCATATAATCTTTAAAGTCCTTCCAATCTGCAAAAAAGTCCTCTGCTTCTTGATTTTTGAGCTTTCTTGTCATTTTGTCCATTTCAACCATAAAAAGTAACTTCTTTAACCACTCCCAAATATCAGGAGTTTTTTCTTGCTTCCAGCATTGAGCGTACGTCATTCTAGCAGTTGTACTCATATACCACATTAATGTTCGTTTTGCAATATTGACTTGAGAGATCCTTCGGTAGAGGAAAACCCCGCAGTACTTATGTCTCACTTCATCCTTTACACTGCAATCGTCTCCATTAGAATTCCTACAAACGTTACCTTTCAAACTTCACATCATCAGTATTATAACTGGATTTACAGAACTTAAATACTGTAGCGAAGCACAGGTATCATGCTAGTATCCAGAGGTCATTTCGGGGGGGAAAAAAGTGTGGCCTTATGACACACTTCCGGTGATGTCAGGGTGTGTGGCATATGCTAATGAGTTATGCTAATGAGTTCCCCTAGCTCTTTTTCTACGAAATGACCCCTGCTAGTATCTAATAAATCTATATCTGAGGTGAGAATAGAACACTGGCTTTTCAGAAGCAAAGGTCACATGGTGTCCATCGGGCCACACTGGCTTTACTTGGACTTCCTTTCTGGAAACTTTCTGCTGATTTCTCCCTGTTCCTCTTCCAGGCTTATCCCAATACAGCAGTGATCCGCGCACTGAATGGGACCTGAAAACGTACACCACCCGGGAAGAGGTGTTAGGTGCATTGAGGAGCTTGCAGTACAAAGGAGGAAACACTTTCACAGGTATCTCTCAGCGTAATCTACTTCACATAGTTGTTGTAAAGATAAAATGGAGAAGAGGAGGAGGAGATTGGATTTATACCCCACCCTTCACTACCCAAAGGAGTCTCAGAGCGGCTGACAAACTCCTTTCCCTTTCCCTCCCCACAACAGACACCCTGTGAGGTAGGTGGGGCTGAGAGAGAGCTCTTGACAGAAACTGCTCTTTTTCAAGAACAGCTCTTATCAGAGCTACGGCTTGCCCAAGGTCATCCAGCCAGGTGCAAGTGGAGGAGTGGGGAATCAAACCCGGTTCTCCCAGATTAGAGTCCGCACACTTAACCACTACATCAAACTGGAATGATGTCAGCCACCTTGGGTCCCCATTGGGTTGCCAGCCTCCAGGTGGGGCCTGAGGATCTCCCAGAATGATAACGAATCTCCATATGACAGAGATTGGTTATTCTAGAGAAAATGGAAGGTGGACTAAGAACATAAGAGAAGCCATGTTGGATCAGGTCCATGGCCCATCCAGTCCAATACTCTGTCACACAGTGGCCAAAAACCACGCGCCATCTGGAGGTCCACCAGCGGGGCCAGAACTCCAGAAGCCCTCCCACTGTTGCCCCTCCAAGCACCAAGAATACAGAGCATCCCTGCCCCATACATAGTGTTAAATAGATACCTTGTGGCTAATAGCCACTGATGGACCTCTGCTCCATACGTTTATCCAATCCCCTCTTGAAGCTGCCTGTGCTTGTAGCTGCCTCCACTTCCTGTGGCAATGAATTCCACATCTTAATTACTCATTGGGTGGAGAAGGACAGCCTTTTATCTGTTCTAAGCCTACTTTTCATTCATTTCATTGAGTGCCCACAGGTTCTTGTATTGCAAGAAAGGGAGAAATGTACTTCTTTACCTTCTCTATCCCATGCATAATCTTATAAACCTCTATCACGTCACCCCTCCATTGTCATTCTCCAAGCATTCTCCAAGCCCTAACCTCTTTAAGTTTTCTTCATAGGGAAGGTTTTCCATCCCCTTAATCATTTCAGTTGCCCTTTTCTGCATTATAAAGGTAAAGGTTCCCTTGCTCGAAAGCCAGTCGAATCTAGGGTTGTGGTGCTCATCTCCGTTTCCAAGCCGAAGAGCCAGTGCTGTCCGAAGACGTTTCCGTGGTCATGTGGTCGGCATGACTAAACACCAAGGCGCACAGAACACTGCATTATACTCTACAGCTAAGTCCCTCACTTCCCCCAAACACTACCCTCCCCAGGTTCCGCCCCTAAATCTCCTGGAATTTCCCAACCTGGAGTGGACAACCCTATATATAGGCTTTCCTTGTAAGGAAACATAGAAATGCAAGCTGATAGCCACACACAGCCTCCCAAGCTCCAGATTTCAGAATGGGCTGTTCCCGCAGCAGATGTGTCTCTTTGTGGCCAATTAATTTTAAGTGTTTATATCCCAATTCTCGACCAGGAATTGGTGCCCAGAGCAGCTAAGGAAATGATGAAAATCAATTAAAAATCAATAATCCCCCGTCTGAAACATCTCTGAACATAAAAACAATGGGGAAATAATTTTTAGAACTAGAAAGATGAAAAACCAAACTGTGAGCTACGAGAAATCATATCCATTACGGTCAGATTAAAGCAGCAGAAACAGATACAGAAACATCATTTTGATTTAAAAAGTACTGAAGTTTTCAGAGGGCTGGGCTGGGGAAAAGAATGTTACCTGGGAGATTAATTTTAAAGGGATAGCTGGGTTAGCCTGCGGCAGCAACAGTAAAGCCCTAAACTGTCTGGGATGTTCATACCTGGGGGACCATCTCTTCCAACATATCTCCCACCCCGAAATCTGCGTTCTTCAATCTGCAACCTGCTTGTGGTGCTTGACCACTGGGATGTCCGCCTGGCATCCACCAGGACGAGGGCCTTCTTTGTGGTGGCCCCGTCCTGGTGGAACCAGCTGTCAGATGGTACATGGAACCTGCGGGACTTATCTAAGTTCAGCAACCTGCAAAGCAGAGCTCTTCCATTTAGCTTGTTATTAGTCGGGTCTGTTTATAAGGGCTGCCTTTCTAGTTTTATTTGTATTATGTTTTTCATAGATATCTGTCAATATTTTAGCTGTGTGAGCAAGAGAAACCTTTACCTTTACTTTAGCTGCCTTTGAACCACTTGGTGGCAAGAGGCAGCATATAGATTTTTAAATGATGGTGATGACGATGAGGAGAAGTCTAATGGTACATAAGAACATAAGAGACACCAATGTTGAATCAGGCCAATGGCCCATCCGGTCCAACACTCTGTCATATGGTGGCGAAAAATACCAGGTGCCATCAGGTGGTCCAGCAGTGGGGCCAGGACACTAGAAGCCCTCCCACTGTTGCCCCCCAAGCACCAAGAATACAGAGCATCACTTGCCCCAGACTGAGAGTTCCTATCTATACCCTGTGGCTAATAGCCACTGATGGACGTCTGCTCCATATGCTTATCTAATTCCCTCTTGAATCTGTCCATGCTTGTAGCTGCCACCACCTCCTGTGGCAGTGAATTCCATGTGGTAATCACTCTTTGGGTGAAGAAGTACTTCCTTTTATCTGTTCTGCTTTAAAGACTGGTGGAAAATGCCATCAAGACACAGCCAGAGGGCAGTGGGAGGGCTCACAAGAAGCAGCAGGAAAGTTGAGTGGGTGGTGGCAGCAGGCCCCACTGGAAGATCTGGGCTGCAGCCAGTGCCCTACCTCAAGGTCTGGTGATGCCACCTCTGCTTCCAGACCACATCTACTGATCTGAAACACACAGGAAATGGAAGATTTGTGTACGGTGCGAACCAGCCCCAATTTTCCCCATTGCGTCAAACGCACTCTGAGCATCAAAAAGGGTGCAAAAGAGACGGACGGATTGGGGATGCCTGCGATGCAAGTGGGTGAAACTAAATGGCTCGCCGTGACAGCATAACAAATGGAAATAGATGAACACGGGCAGATGTGTCACTCGTTAGCCGGTGAGCACCAGATGGCGGCATTATTCTCCGAGTTTGATTTCCCGTGGTTTATTGTGAGGCTTTATCATATTGCTATTCTTGCTCTTTTATGCTGGAAGCTGCCGTGTAAGCCGTTATGCTGAGAGGCAGGGTAAAAATACCCGTACGAAAACAAATGGAATAATCCGTCATTTCCCTGCTTTTATTGTCCCTTGATCTGTCCTCTTCTGGGACATTCTGTCCTGTGATCCAGTGTTTCTCTTTAGTTTTGGCCGAGGGATGCTAATGAATGAGCAATCAAAGCCAACTTACAGATGAAACACTCACCTGCTTTGTTTCAGGAAAGTAGCCCTGTTGGTTTGCAGGGGAACGGCTCGATTCAAGCGCCTTAGAGAGCAATCAGATTTGTTTGTGGGTGTCTGTGCCCGTGCCTGGAAGTCATGGTGACTTCTGGCGACCCCTAGTGGGGCCTGGAAAATGTTCAGAGGAGTGGCTGATAGAGCCCGTCTCTGCCTCCCGACTGCTGGTATTCCTTGGAGGTCTCCCATCCAAGTTCTTGCTAGGGTCGGCCCTGCTTAGCTTCCGAGATCAAGCGAGATTGGGCTTGCCTGGGCTAACCAGATCAGGGTGGGAACAACCAGATTTCTGAAGTCTGAGCTTTTGAAAGTCAAAGCTCTCTCCACCTGAACTTTGCCTCTCAGGAACTCATACTCTGACATTCTTGCTGGTCCCTAAGCTGCTACTCTTGAGAGTCCCTTGGACTGCAAGGAGATCGAATCAGTCAATCCTAAAGGAAATCAACCCTGATGGTTCCCTGGAAGGCCAGATACTGAAGCTGAAGCTCAAATACTTTGGCCACCAAATGAGAAGGGAGCCCTCACTGGAGAAGACCCTGATGCTGGGAAAGATTGAAGGTCAAAGAAGAAGGGGATGGCAAGGGATGAGATGGTTAGACAGTGTTATCGAGGCAACGAACATGAAGTTGAGCAAATTCTGGAGGACGGCAGAAGACAGGAGGGCCTGACGTGATGTGGTCCACGGGGTTGCGAAGATTCGGACTCGACTGTGCGACTGAACAACGACAACAGCGAGCTGCGACTGGACTTGGATCTAGCTGTTTGCCTGTTTTAGCGGGACAGAGGAAGCAGTTCTGAATTGAACCATGTGGAATGACCTTACACTGAGATGGACCGCTGGTCCTTCTGGCCGAGTTCAGCCTACTGTGACTGGCAGCAGCTCTCTGGCCGAGCGCGCCTCCATTCTTGCGACCTGGGATCTGTTAAACCACTTTAATCAAAAGTAGAGATGTAAAATTTCCGGAAAGTTTGAAGCTCAGAAAAAAAACCCGGGTTTTTTCCGGGGGGGAACGGAAATTTTCGGAAAAATTGAAAAAAATGCTACATTAGCACTTCTTTTGTCTTTTCTAGATTGAGTCATTCTGTTACTTTAGGAACATAAAATATGACTATGGACATTTTTACTTGGCATGAAATTATCACAACTAGCATATTAAAAATATAGTGTGTCCAAACAGTTATTACAAACAGAATACCCGCCCACATGCAAAAACAAAACTGAAACCTTTTTCTTTTCTCGTGACAATAGCACCTCCTAAAGGAAGAAATGCATCTTGTTCTTGCATTGGAGAGTTCAGTTTGTAACCTAGGACTTGCTTGTCAGTGTACAGAAATTAGATCAATCTGATACCATATATATATATTTTAGAAATGATTTGGAAAATATTTGAACACCTTGTCTTAAAATATTTTATTCATCATGTTAAAATAAAACATTCCATAATCAATTTTCTTTTCTTTTCTTTTTTCAATTTTTTCAATTTTTCGGAAAAAAAACAAAAAAGGCTTCAGGAAAAAAACGGGGGGAAAAACGTTTCCCCCCCCGAATGTTTCCATTTTTTCCCGGGCCTTCACATCTCTAATCAAAAGTGGGTTTGGAGAAAGCGTGGACAGGAAGGTATGGGTTTCTGTACCTTCCTGCATACATACAGTGTTCCGTCTGGAGAAGAGGAGGTTGGGGGTGGGGGACAGGATGGCTCTCTTGAAGTATCTGAAGGGCTGTCACTTAGAGGAGGGCAGGGAGCTGTTCCTGTGGGCAGCAGTCGATAGACGAACAGAGACGAACAGGCAAGAGATGAACAGAAGTGGTTTGCCATGGCCTGCCTCTGCGAAGCAGCCTGAGTCTCCCATCCAAGTATTAACTATGGCTGAGCTTGCATAGCTTCCCAGGTCTGATGAGATCAGGCTAGGCTGAGCTCTTTAGGCTGCTGAGCTGTCCAAAATCTCGGGGTGGGAAGAATTGCAGTTGGAAAGGGGATCGCTTGGGTGGTGGGGAACTCTGTGGCGGTTCTGTTGCTGCTAAAAATGCCTTTGGATTTTCAGCAGTAATGAGAACCAGTCAAGGAATTGCTCCCATGCAGAAGCAACCTAACTGTGGTTAATGATCCATGGTTTCAGATCCTGGCCTGATGGATCCTAGCCAGACCCATAGCCAGGTTTTTGTGGCTTGTGGGGCATTTTTTTTTTCCTGATGGGGCTGAAGTTCTCAGTGCAGAACAAAAAGCCATTTAGTCAATAGAGAGCTGTGACCAGGAGAGATCTCTAAATGGCGAGCTGTCAACCACTTTCATAGAATCATAGAAAGTTGGAGTTGGAAGGGACCTTGCAGGTCATCTAGTCCAACCCCCTGCACTCTGCAGGAGCATAGCCAAAAGATAGCCCTACATACCTACAACATACCCGAAAGATGGCCGTCCAGCCTCCGCTTGAAAACGTCCAGCGAAGGAGCATCCACTGCCTCCCGAGGCAGACTGTCCCACTGCTCAACCACTCTTACAGTTAGGAAGTCTCTCCTGATATTTAGCTGGTAACGACTCCCTTGTAATTTCCACCCATTAGATCTAGTCTTGCAATCCAGAGCAAGAGAGAATAGATCCGCTCCATCTTCTACATGACAGCCCTTCAGACTGCCATCATGTCCCCTCTAAGCCCTCTCTTTCCCAGGCTAAGTATACCCAACTCTTTCAGCCTTTCCTCATAAGATTTGGATTCCAACCCTCTCACCATCCTTTAGATGACAGTTCTCAGCGACTGCAAGCTAATCACTTCTGCCAGCCTAAGCAACAATTCTGATAACAAGCCGGCGGGGGGTGGGGTGGGGTGATGACTTCTATAGTCAAGAAAGCTAACACATAGGCAAAACAAAGAAGTCTCTTAAAGGAGACCAGTTTCTTGACACAAGAGTTAGAAGAGATCCTAGAGGTCACCTACTCCAACCCCCTTTCTCATTGAGGGACTTAGTCAACTACAGCACCCCACTCTGCTTAAAGGAGTGCACATTTTTAAAAACGTTTAAAAATGATTGAAAAAAGCACTTACAGGAGAAATTCTTTTCGGGGTATGTCTTTAAGAAAGGGGGCAGAGCCCCCCAGAGCCCCACTGTAGCTACGGGCCTGATCCTAGCTGGCCACAGTCGGTGGAGTGGCCCAGGTTCAGACAGTCACACTAACCACAGTTTAGCTGAACCATAATTTCATGTGATGTCTGAACCAAGCTGAAGTCTCAAGGCCTGATTCACTGTTGCACCTGGTGATTTCAGAACGTCCGGTAAAACTGGCGAGGGGAGAATTCCCGCTTTGCCCCACGGGCCATAACCATTGCCTATTCTTCTCCACTGCCATTGGTTTCATGCCCAGTTCTGAAGCCTCCTATTGGGATATTTGGTTAATATAGCAGAGTTTGCCCAGTCACCGAGTGTGATATCGTATTCAGTAAATAAGTCTCCCAAGAAGTATATTGCAAAAGTAAAACTTACATTTATTCAAGTGGAACAAAGTTTTGAGTCCATTGGCACCTTTAAGACCCAACAAAGCTTACTTCTGGGTCCGTTCTCATTCAGGATGCAGTCAAAGGAGACAGAGAAGCCTAACTTTAAAAAATCACTATCCCTGTCACAAATGGCAAGATAATCTGGCCTGAGCTTGATCTCATCAGACCTGAGAAGCTATATGCATGATCAACCATAGCTTGTATTTGGGTGGGAGACTGAGGCTGCTACACAGAGGTAGGCAATGGCAAACCACCTCTGTTCATGTATGGGAGTATGAGGGCACTGTTTCTACAGGAGAGAACTGTAGAGACGTATGATTCCATGAAGAGCCATGTGAAGATTTGGGGAGAACAAAGAGCAGAGAGAGAGGGTGCAAGGGTCAAAGGCCAACTCCCAGGTTGACAGAAAGAGAGACATCTCATTTAAGGAAATAACACTGATATAACACTGAAAGCCAGATTGGTGTAGTGGTTAAGAGTGCTGACTCTAATCTGGGAGGAACTGGGTTTGATCCCCCACTTCTCCACATGCAGCTGCTGGAGTGACCTTGGGTTCAGTCACAGTTCTCTCAGAGCTGTTCTCTTAAGAGCAGTTCTCTCAGAGCTCTTTCAGCCCCACTTACCTCACAAGGTGTCCAGGAAGGAGATTGTAAACTGCTCTGAGACTCCAAGTGAAGGGTGGGGTGTGAATCCTCTTCCTCCTCCTTCACCACTCTCTTCTCTTCTCTTCTCTTCTCTTCTCTTCTCTTCTCTTCTCTTCTCTTCTCTTCTCTTCTCTTCTCTTCTCTTCTCTTCTCTCTTCTCTTCTCCTCTCTTCTCTCCTCTCCTCTCCTCTCCTCTTCTCTCTTCTATACACGTAGAGGGTTGTAGCGCCCCCTAGTGTCCAGGCATGCTGAGCTGCTCACTCCAGTACCTCCCACCTTCCGTTCTTTCTCCCTTTGAAGGACTCGCATTGACCCACGTCTTGGAACAGAACCTGAAGCCCGAAGCTGGAGCTCGGTCCGAGGCTCCCAAACTGATCATCCTCTTGACCGACGGCAAATCGCAGGACGACGCCGGCCCCTCTGCACAAACCTTGAAGAATATGGGAATTGAGATCTTTGCCGTTGGTGAGTCCACGTCCCAAGTGTGTTGTGTGTGTCTTTGTGGTGAAATCGATGCATCTTATTGGGCCCGGGGGGTGGGGGAACCTGGTCTGATGGGATCGACACATGTGTGTGGTTGCGGTGCTCCCACACCCCACCTGCAAGGTGGGGGCTCACAGCAAGCTGGGCACAGGTCATCTGTGCACACTGAGGCCACCACAAGAAGGATGCAGGCATGCCAAAGTCCAGCCAACGTCCCTTTATTGGCGCTGGGGCCGGCGTTCAGCTTTGCCTTTCCCGGGAGAGAAATGGCACTTCCCCTTTCCTGGCTCCATGTGTCCTGTAGCTTCCACGCCCATTGACCACCCCCAACCAGTGTTCCCTCTAAGCTGAGTTCGTGTGAGCTAGCTCAGTTTTTTTTAGCCTCCGGCTCATACATTTTGGTCTTCGCTCAGGAAGGAGGGCTCCAGAGCAAACTCATTTATGCAGCAGCCAAATCGCTCGCTCACAACTTTAATGCCAGCAGCTCACAAAGCAGATTTTTTGCTCACAAGACTCCACAGTGTAGAGCAGGGGTGTCAAACGTGCGGCCCAGGGCCCGGATAAGGCCCCCGGAGGGCTTCCATCAGGCCCGCAGTGGAACTGGCCGTCTCCTGCTTCCAGTTCTGCTGCTGCTGCATCATAGCTTGCTTCGCCAGCCTCTCTCAATCACTCAGCCATTTCATGTTTTAACCTGGGTCCTAGATTCAGAACTCTGAGCATGAGATTTCTGTGGTGAATGTCAATAGATCTAAAGCAGGTTTGCCGCTCACAGAGCTAATGGTTTAAGCATGTTTTTATTTTAAGTTAAAAAAAACACCTTTGTGTTTGTGTCCTTTATAAAGTTTATATCTCTGCTACCTGGCAACCTAGCAGTTGGAAAGCAAGAAATTGCAAGTAGATAAATAGGTACCACTTCGGTGGGAAGGTAACAGCATTCTGTGCGCCTTGGTGTTTAGTCATGCCGGCCACATGACAACGGAAACGTCTTCGGACAGCGCTGGCTCTTCGGCTTTGAAACGGAGATGAGCACCGCAACCTTAGAGTCGGATTCGACTGGCTTTCGAGCAAGGGAACCTTTACCTTTACTTTAGCTGACATTACATTTTAGGACACACATGGCCTGTCCATGTCCCTCCACTACTATATGCGAATGACATGGTACTATTGTCCTGTTCCAAAGTTGGCTTAAAGCGTTCACTAAATAGATGTCTTTCATATTTTATAACAAATAAATTACTTTTAAACCATGAAAAATCAAAAATACTTCTCTTTTCCAAAACTTGGCAACCATTCAAACGGACAATTGGAGGCAAACCGATTGAACAAGTTAAAATGTGTAGATACTTAGGTCTGCCCTTTCGGTATAATGCATCTTGGTCTGTGCAGCGTAATTCAGCAATAAATATGGCCAACATAAACGCTTCCGCCATTTCCCGATTCTTCTACACCAGAGGCAACCAATTCATACCAGCTGTATTAAAAGTCTTCAAGGCCAAAGTAACCCCCCCCCCCCCCCCTCGACATGTATGGTATTCCAGTATGGATAAGCGCACTTAATGGCACAATAGAATGTGTTCAATCTAAATCTCTTCAAAAGATCGTGGGAATGCCGTGCTGTTTACCTTATGCAGCCTTGTGTTTAGAAACTGGGTTAAATTCTGTGGAACCTGGTGCATGGCTAATGACAATAAAATATTGGCTGCGTCTACATTACAATGTAGTCCAAGGAATCCTTATACAACAAATGCTCACAGAGTCAAACATGTCTAACTGCCTACCACACATTGAGAACAAAATAACTGCCACGGGCATCCCATTGGACTCACTGCTCATGCTCCCTTTTATGGATGCTTTACAGATGATTAAACGCAGAGCCCTCGACATTGAAACACAAAGGCTTAGCCAACAAATCTCGCTCCCCTCTGAACTTTGAGATTCCCCTCACGGGAGGCCGAATGCCCCCATACCTATCTAATATACAAGCACCACAACAGCGCAGAGCTTTTTCACTAGCAAGATTCAATGCACTACCATCAGCAGTCTTGCCTGGGAGATATAATAATAGAGCATATACATATAGACTTTGCCATTGTAACTCTGGATGCATCGAGACAGTTCCACATATCTGTTTGCACTGCCAGTTTTATGTAGATGTTGGTTTTAGATATTTAAACCCTATTTTAGCCAACATGACGGACCTTCCTGATGCTTTACAAGTGCACCGTCTCCTGAATGATTCCGCTCCTGAAATATCAGTGAAGGTAGCCACGTTTTTACAATCCGCTAAAAAGCGACGTCAGGAAAAAATGATCAAAATGGTTCAGTATGTCCTTATGGGGCTCTTTTTGTAGCAGGAACTCCTCTGCATATGAGGCGACACACCCCTAATGTAGCCAATCCTCCAAGAGCTTACAGTAGCCCCTGTAAGAAGAGCTCTGTAAGCTCTTGGAGGATTGGCTACATTAGGGATGTGTTGCCTCATATGCAGAGGAGTTCCTGCTACAAAAAGAGCCCGCTGGAGATCTGTGTGGGCTGAAGCAACGCAACCTCCTTGGGACCGTGTAGTGAGCAATGTTCCCTCTAAGCTGAGTTAGTGTGAGCTTGCTCACAGTTTTTTAGCCTCCAGCTCACACATTTTTGTCCTAGCTCAGGAAGGAGGGCTCCAGAGCAAACTAATTTATGCAGCAGCCAAATCGCTTGCTCACAACTTTAATGCCAGTCGCTCACATAGGAGAATTTTTGCTCACAAGACTCCACAGCTTAGAGGAAACATTGGTAGTGAGTACATGCTAGAGGTGAGACCAGAACTACGGATATTTTGTTTCGTGACTCAACCGCTGCGCTGCTGTTTTACAGCAAATTCATGCTAGATTCTCTCATGCCGTCTTTGTTTGGCCCCCTTGCCAATCACAAAACAACATAATGGGGCTGAGACAGGTGTGTCTATATATTCAGAGAAACCCCCCCCCATAAGTGGAGAATACGTGTAAATTCTGCCCCCCCCCCAAGCCCCTAAAATGTCTGGAAGATAGCTGAGTAAGTTAAAAGGGAAAAGGGGGGAGAGGGCAAATTACTTCGCTCAAACCCCCAAGCGTTTATCAGAACCTGGAGGAGGAGATTTCAGCGGGTGGGATGAGATTTCCAAATTGCTCCCCACAATTATTCTTAGGCATTCAGCTTGCTTTGCACACCCATCTCAGCTGTTGCCGTTCATTTTGAAAGGAGTGAAAAACGCCGACGAGGCAGAATTGCGCCAGGTGGCCTCTGAGCCTTTGGAGCTGACGGTGTACAACGTCCTGGACTTCCCACTGCTCAGTTCTCTGGTTGGCCGGCTGACACGAGTCTTGTGTGCATGGATTAAGGAGAAGAACAAGGAGGAGAACACAGGTGAAGCCAACGACAATGTCTTTGTTTAGCTTCCAGACCGTCATTTCCTAGACATAGGGTTTTTCTGCATTATCATTTTCCTAGCTTCTGTGAGCCTATTGCTTCAGGGTTTGTTTCTTTTTCCTCACGTGTTTTGCTCCCTCTGGTGGTCGATTCAATATTACATCACTGTATGTCCAGCATAAAAAATGCACTTTAAATCTGGTGTGTGTGTGGGAACCACCCCACCCTATTCTGGTTTGTTTTTTGTTTCCATCGCATTTTGGGTGGTTTTTTTTAAATTGTAAGCCACCCTAGTCGCCCATAGGAGAGAAAAGCTGGATACAGATAAATATCTTACCTGCATTTTAGAATTCTTCCAAGGAGATCATGGCAATGTAAGGTCCCCCCCTCCCAATTTTAGTTCCACAGCAACCCTTTTAAGTACATTAGGCTGAGAGATATCAATTGGCCCACAGTCTCATCCATCAGGCTTTCTGTTTGAGAAGAAGAAAGAAGAAGAAGAGAAGAGATTGGATTTATACCCCATAAGAACATAAGAGACACCAGTGTTGGATCAGACCAAAGGCCCATCCAGTCCAACACTCTATCACACAGTGGCCAGAAATACCAGTGCCATCAGGAGGTCCACCAGTGGGGCCAGGACATTAGAAGCCCTCCCACTGTTGACGCCCCCCAAGCACCAAGAAGACAGAGCATCACTTGCCCCAGAGTCCCTATCTATACCTTGTGGCTAATAGCCACCGATGGACCTCTGCTCCATAGGCTTATCTAATTCCCTTTTGAAGCCGTCTTCACTCGGAGTCTCAGAGTGGCTTACAAACTCCTTTCCCTTCCCCTCCCCACAACAGACACCCAGTGAGGTAGGTGGGGCTGAGAGAGCTCTGACAGAAACTGCTCTTTTTCAAGAATACCTCGGAGAGAACTATGGCTTGCCCAAGGTCATCCAGCAGCTGCATGTGGAGGAGTGGGGAATCAAACCCGGTTCTCCCAGATAAGAGTCCACGCACTTAACCACTACACCAGTCTTGCTCTGAGTCCAATGCTCTACTGCAGGGGTCCTTAACCTTTTTGACCCTATGGGCACCCTTGGGACTTTGACACTGGATGGTGGGTGCAACCCCATAATGGCTGCCATTAGAGGCAGAGCCAGCCACAAAATGGCCACCCCAAGAGGTGGAGCCAACCAAAACAATCTCATGGAGTGAAGCCATGCATAACTCTGATAGTAACTCTTCAACATTTCAAGGCAGGAGCTGTGTTTGACAGTACATCTTTTAAAACAAACACCTTGGTTAGAAGCATTTCCTTGCATATTCACAGCTCACTTCCAGTCCTACCTTGAAGACTGAAGTGCTGTGGTGCCAGCTGCTGTTGAAACAACTTCTTAAAAATCTGCATGGTCAATCAGAATCCCTGCTGGGCATAAAGCCCCATCTTGCCCTGCCCACTTTCTAAAAACACCTGGTGGGCGTTGGAAATATGTGTGTTGCAAGGTCTAAAATTCAGTCATTATAGGGTTAAATGTGCTTACCTTGTGGGCTATTGTTTAGACTGACCTGGCAAGGAGCCAATGGAAACAAAGCCCAGAAAACCGAAGTCTGTTTACTCACAATAATTGATTAATGTACTCAGGTGATTTCCTTCTCGGGGTCGAGAAGAAGAAGACGAATCTCCATTGTTGTAGATTGTGTGGTCGAAGTATAAAGATGTAGCCTTAGGTGTCTTTGTTGTTTCGTAGATTTCCCGTGAACCCTTCCCTTTAGAAATAAAGATTTTTACATAGAAAGGAAATGCCTCCTCTCCAGTGAAGCAAACGTCCATTGCAATCTCTGAATATCTAACTATTTTGCCAATTTTTCCAATGGTGGGCACCAGGAAAGGCGGCTGTGTGCGCCGTGTCGGGGAGCCCTGCTCTGCTGTAACACCACACAATATGAGACACTTGTCTGCTTTTCACACTTGCAGGCGATCCAGTCAAAACTGCTCCGGTGAATGGCGGTGCCCATCTGAGCCCATCCAACCTGGTGGTAAAAGAGGTGACTGCCGGAAGCATGCACCTCATCTGGAAGCCTCCACTGGTACCACCCAAGAAGTACAGGGTGGTCTACTACCCATCCAGGGGTGGGATCCCCAAAGAGGTAAGCGGTCCCATGTCTTGATGGCACGAGGCCCGGTAAATCAGCCAGAGAGCAAGGAAACGCTGCAAGAGCTTTAATCTGCCATAGCAGTGCAGAAAGCGTTCCATGCGTGTCCAGCCACGGAACGTCTGCGTCTCTGTTAAAGGATTTGTGCACTGCAGATGATTCAGAGAGATGCTGTAGGGCACTTCCGTCGCATGGGTGGACTGCTGGGACATAATTGCACTACATGGACTGAGAATATACGCCCAAGACAGCCCTGTAGCCAGAAATTTTTGGCTGGTGGGGCAGGGAGCGGGGCACTGGGGCAGGGAAGCCAGATGCGGGTAACTTAATTAGATCACATGGGGGGTAGCAAAGGAAAGAGAGAAAGAGAAGGTTTAACAGCTCTTCCCCAGGGAGTGAAACTGACCAGAAATGGCAGGGTGGCTTCCCTTTCCTTCCCCAGCCTTCCCTCCGCTGCCGCTTCTGGTCAGCTTCACTCCCCTCCGATCAGCTGTAGAGACCACGCCCTCATACTCCCACACACATGATGCCGGACAAGCTGGCCATTTGTGACAGGGGAAAGAAGTCTTTCGATTAGGAGTCTCTCCTTTCGACTGCAACCTGAAGGTGGACTGGATCGACTTGAATAAATGTAAGTTCACCTTCTTTGGTGTAGTGGTTAAGTGCGCGGACTCTGAGCTGGGAGAACCGGGTTTGATTCCCCACTCCTCCACTTGCACCTGGCTGGATGACCTTGGGCAAGGCATAGTTCTGATAAGAGCTGTTCTTGAAAAAAGAGCAGTTTCTGTCAGAGCTCTCTCAGCCCCACCTACCTCACAGGGTGTCTATTGTAGTGGGGGGGGGAGGGAAAGGAGTGAAGGGTGGGGTATAAATCCAATCTCAATCACTTCCTCTTCTTCTTCTTCCTCTTCTTCGATGAAGATTGGTGTAGTGGTTCAGTGCGTGGACTAATCTGGGAGAACAGGGTTTGATTCCCCACTCCTCCACTTGCACCTGGCTGGATGACCTTGGGCAAGGCATAGTTCTGATAAGAGCTGTTCTTGAAAAAAGAGCAGTTTCTGTCAGAGCTCTCTCAGCCCCACCTACCTCACAGAGTGGGGAGGGCATGGGAAAGGAGTTTGTAAGCTGTTCTGAGACTCCCTTGAGTAGTGAAGGGCAGGGTATAAATCCAGTCTCCTCCTCCTCCTCCTCCTCCTCCTCAATATATTTATTGGAAGTTTTTTTATTGCACTCACTATCACGCTTCTCTGACTGGGCAAAAGTCTACTCTATTAACCAGCTATCCCCATAGCTAGACCCTGTTCCCCATGGTAGATTATTCCTCCTCCAGAAAGGTTTGGGAAAGAAGGGGAGTTGACCGGGAAAGGGGCCAGATGGACATATTTTGCAGGAGTCTTGCTGAAGGCTCACAAACTTTCATGGCCTCTTGAGCACCCACAAATGCTTGTCAAACCTTTTTACCTTGGCCAGGAATGGCTGCTCAAAAGGTGAGTGGGTGTTCACCCGTTTCTCATTCTTACCATGTGGCTAATCCAGCCTCCTCGTATACTTGCAGGTGGTTCTAGATGGCTCTGCTTCCTCCGCGCAGCTCTTCAACCTCACATCCCACACCGAATATCTGGTTTCGGTATTTCCCATTTATGAGAATGCGGTCGGAGATGGACTCCGAGGTATCACCTCAACCTGTAAGTCTAGAATCAATGACTGGTATTCAGTATATAGGAAACCCCACTTGCAACGCCTTCTTTATCCCACTGAATGTGATTTTTTTAATGGATAGCTTATCAGGGTTACGAATTGAGGCACCTTGCATGGAGGGTTCTACGTGTAGTTTTTGGGCAGGTTCCAGAAAGAGGTGTTGAAGTTCAGTGGGTTTCTTCCTGGATAGCCTATCAGGGTCACAAGCTGAGGCACCTTGCATGGACAGTTCCACTCGTAGCTGTTGGACAGGTTCCAAGAAGAGGTGTTGAAGTTCAGTGGGTTTCTTTCTGGATAGCCTATCAGGGTCACAAGCCGAGGCACCTTGCATGGGTAGTTCCACTTGTAGCTGTTGGGCAGGTTCCAAGAAGAGTTAATGAAGTTCAGTGGGTATCCTTCTGGATAGACTATCAGGGTTATGAATTGAGGCACCTTGCATGGAGGGTTCCATGTGTAGTTTTTGGGCAGGTTCCAGAAAGAGGTGTTGAAGTTCAGTGGGTTTCTTTCTGGATAGCCTATCAGGGTCACGAGTTGAGGCACCTTGCATGGACAGTTCCACTTGTAGCTGTTGGGCAGGTTCCAAGAAGAGGTATTGAAGTTCAGTGGGTATCCTTCTGGATAGCCTATCAGGGTCACAAGCTGAGGCACCTTGCATGGACAGTTCCACTTGTAGCTGTTGGGCAGGTTCCAAGAAAAGGTACTGAAGTTCAGTGGGTATTTTTCTGGATAGCCTATCAGGGTTATGAATTGAGGTACCTTGCATGGAGGGTTCCACGTGTAGTTTTTGGGCAGGTTCCAGGAAGAGGTGTTGAAGTTCAGTGGGTTTCTTTTTGGGTAGCCTATCAGGTTCACGAGCTGAGGCACCTTGCATGGACGGTTGTAGCTGTTGGGCAGGTTCCAAGAAGAGGTATTGAAGTTCAGTGGGTATCCTTCTGGATAGACTATCAGGGTTACGAATTGAGGCACCTTGCATGGAGGGTTCCACGTGTAGTTTTTGGGCAGGTTCCAGAAAGAGGTGTTGAAGTTCAGTGGGTTTCTTTCTGGATAGCCTATCAGGGTCACAAGCTGAGGCACCTTGCATGGACAGTTCCACTTGTAGCTGTTGGGCAGGTTCCAAGAAGAGGTATAGAAGTTCAGTGGGTATTTTTCCGGATAGCCTGTCAGGGTCACGAGCTGAGGCGCCTTGCATGGACAGTTCCACTCGTAGCTGTTGGACAGGTTCCAAGAAGAGGTGTTGAAGGACCATGGCTCTGTCACATGAATTTTACTCTGTGTTATTCGTGTATTTTGTGCCCCAATCCTTTTTAATGTGGAAGCCCCCAGGATGAGGCGGAAGGCCTCATTATGTCGTGGATGATGCCCTGTTTGGTGTAGTGGTTAGGAGCGTGGACTCTAATCTGGGAGAACCGGGTTTGATTCCCCACTCCTCCACTGGCACCTGCTGGTGTGACCTTGGGTCAGTCAGAAATTCTGTCAGAGCTGTTCTCTCAAGGGCAGTTCTTGAGAGAGCTCTCTCAGCCCCACCCACCCTACAAGGTGTCTGTTGTGGGAAAGGGAAGGGGAAGGGGATTGTAAGCCGCTCTGAGACTCCTTCGAGTAGTGAAGGGCAGGGTATAAATCCAATCTCCTCCTCCTCCTCCTCCTCCTCCTCCTCTTCTTCTTCTTCTGCTGCTGCTGCATCTTCTTCTTCTTCTTCTTCTGCTGCTGCTGCATCTTCTGCTTCTAAGGTTGCCAAATCCAAGTGGGGAAATTCCTGGAGATTTGGTGGTAGAGGCTGGGGAGGGTGCAGGGGTTTTTTTTGGGGGGGAAGTGAGTACAGCAGGGAGGTGATGCCACAGAGTTCCCCCCCCCTCCAAATCTGTCATCTTCTCCAGCAGAATTGATTTCTGTAGTCTGGAGATCAGCTTGAATTCCAGGGGATCTCCAGGCCCCACCTGGAGGCTGGCAACCCTGGCTGCTTCTCCTTTTTGTCTCAGTGAGTTGGCGGCATTTTAAACAGAGTCAATAATGGGTTGGATGAAGGCCAGTAAACCAAACCTCAAAGCGATCTGTTAGGTCCTGAGGGCAGGGCTCCACCTGCATTGGATGGGTTTGCAGCTCCCTTGGAAGTCCAAGTTTAAGAGTCCTGGTAGAGGTAGTTTCGCAGCTGGATGTACAAGTAGTGTCTGTTGCACACAGTGCTTTTCAGAGAGCCAGTTTGGTGTAGTGGTTAGGAGGGCAGACTCTAATCTGGGAGAACCTGGTTTGATTCCCCACGCCTCCACATGCAGCTGCTGGTGTGACCTTGGGTCAGTTACAAGTCCTCTCAGAGCTGTTCTCTCATGAGCAGTTCTCAAAAGAGCTCTCTCAGCCCCCACCTACCTCACAGGGTGTCTGTTGTGGGGAGGGGAAGGGAAAGGAGATTGTAAGCCGCTCTGAGACTTCTTTGGGTAGTGGAGAGCGAGGTATAAATCCAATCTCTTCTTCTTTCACCAGCTTTGGCTGAGGTGACAAGTGAATCCCCTTCTGGACTTAAATGTGCTTGTCAAATGTTATCCAGAACTCATGCTTGGCTACTGTAATTCACTATATGTAGGGCTGACTTTGAAGACTGTTCAGAAACGTCCGCCGGTCTAGAACGAAGTGGCCAGATTCTTGACTGGCACAGGAACCCGAGGAACGTCCAGTGGCTAACATAAAACATCCAATACACAAAGACCTTCATTGACTTCCAGTCTTTTTTTTTTTCCTTGGCACAATGCACAGGTTTGGTTTTGACCTACAAAGCACTCAGCAGTTTGGAGACGACAGGGTAGATAAAAGGCTGCCTGCTCCCATAGGAACCTGCCTGCCAATTAAGAACGCCCTCCCCGCGTCGGATCTGCCTGTTGCCCTTGTTACTAGTTTCTGAACCCTCGAGCAAAAAGCATTGTGTGTTTGCTTTTCATGACATCAAAGCGTGCCGCTGTTTTGCTTTTCTTTTAATTATTCATTGCTTTTTTCTAAGCACCAGTTTTGTCCATTGTTTCAGTTGATTTCACGGGTTTTTAAAGCTACTTTAAGGTCTGCTTTAGTAGAACGGTGGAATTAAAACTAGGCTAGCCAATTCCAGGTTGGGAAATCCCTGGAGATTTGGCGGTGGAGCCGGGGGAGGGTAAGGTTTTTTGGGGGGTGCACAACAGCATGGGATAGTAAGAAGAAGAAGAAAGAGAATTGGATTCTGTCAGAGCTGTTCTCTCAAGGGCAGTCCTCAAAAGAGCTCTCTCAGCCCCACTTACCTCACACGGTGTCTGTTGTGGGGAGGGGGAGGGAAAGAAGATTGTCAGCTGCTCTGAGATGCTGAGTGAAGGGCGGGGTATAAATCCAATCTCCTCCTCGTCTCAGAGCAGCATACAATCTCCTTTCCCTTCCTCTCCCCAGAACAGACACCCTGTGAAGCAGGCGAGGCTGAGAGAGCTCTGAGTGAACTGCTCCTGAGAGCTCTGAGAGAACTGTGACTGACCCAAGGTCACCCAGCTGGCTGCATGTGGAGGACTGGGGAATCAAACCCGGTTCTCCAGATGAGAGTCTGCCATTCTTACAAATTACACCAAACTGGCTCTCAGAGGCTGGAGCATCCATACGGTGGCCTGTTTATTTAGTTCATTCCTATTGAGCCATAGAGCCCAGCCTCCAAAGCAGCCCACTTTCTCCAGGGAAACTGATTTCTGTCGTCTGGAGATCAACTGTAATTCTGGGAGATCTCCAGGCCCCACCAGGAGGTTGGCAACTTTAGATAATGCCACTGGAACAAAGAGCTAGTGAAATTGTATCCATCCTCTTTGCAGGCTTGCTTTTACCCTCAAGAGCAAACAAAAGCAGACAAATCACACACTATGGTTTGGGGTGAATAATTGCTCTCCCAGAGGATATTTTATTTCAAAAGACAACACAAGCATAGCCAAAATAGGCCTGGAAGTTTGCTGGCCGTGCGCGGTCAGATCCCAGAAGCCAGAGTAGCCAAGGGGCAGAGCTTCATTGCTGCGCTGTTTGCCTTTCCTCATGACAAGCATAAGTGGAATCCGTTGTGCTAAACACAACTACAATTCAAACAAATAGCTCTACTTCATTTGCAAAACGCCACTGGCGAGGGAAGCCAAAGATGCGGTGTTTTGTTACAGAGAGAAGAAAAGAGGCTGGATTTGTACCCTGCCCTTCACTTGGAGTCTCAGAGCAGCATACAATCTCCTTTCCCTTCCCCTCCCCACAACAGACACCCTGTGAGGTAGGTGGGGCTGAGAGAGCTCTCTCGAGGACTGCTCCTGAGAGAACAGCTCTGAGAGAACTTGTGACTGACCCAAGGTCACACCAGCAGCTGCAAGTGGAGGCGTGGGGAATCAAACCCGGTTCTCCCAGATTAGAGTCCGCACTGTTAACCACTACACCAAACAGTAGAGTATGCATGATTTTTGCCCATTCTCAGGATTAAAAATAAATAAATAAACTAAGCAAGATCTTTGAGGAGGTTATGTGGTCTAGAGAACATGATACATTGTCTGCTTTGCCCATTTTCTCTTTCTCCTCTCACTCTTGCAGTGCCTCTGTCTGCTCCCCGTTCCCTCCGAGCATCGGAAATCAGCCACAACAGCATAAAACTGACCTGGCAGCCAGCAGATGGCGCTACACAGTATCTGGTCCTTTGTTCTTCAGCACCCAACGGAGCAAATGACCACACTAAAGAGGTAGAGTATTTTGTTTGTTCATTCGTTTCGCCGGAATCACAGCTTTTAGGCACTTAACCTAGGAATTACAGGTAGAAGGCGATTTTTGTACGTGGGCAATTTTAAACCGGTGACATACGTTCTGAAGTTGTACAGTCCCGTGAGAGGGCTGTACCACATGAACACCTGCGTCTGGATTTTATTTTGGATGCTTGTCTGGGGAGAATGTTAATAGGGCCTCAGGAGAGAGAGGGAGAGAGAAAGAGAGCGAGATTGGATTTATACCCCACCCTTCACTTGGAGTCTCAGAGCGGCTGACAAACACCATTCCCTTCCCCTCCCCACAACAGACACCCGGTGAGGTAGGTGGGGCTGAGAGAGCTCTGACAGAAACTGCTCTTTTTCAAGAACAGCTCTTATCAGAACTATGGCTTGCCCAAGGTGCAAGTGGAGGAGTGGGGAATCAAACCTGGTTCTCCCAGATTAGAGTCCACGCACTTAACCACTGCACCAGTCTTCATCGAAGAGGAAGAAGAAGAGGAGGAAGAAGAAGAGGAAGAAGAGGAGATTGGATTTATACCCCGACCTTCACTACCCAAAGGTGTCTCAGAGCGGCTTACAAACTCCTTTTTCCCTTCCCCTCCCCACAGCAGACACTCTGTGAGGTAGGCGGGGCTGAGAGAGCTCTGACAGAAACTGCTCTTTTTCAAGAACAGCTCTTATCAGAACTATGGCTTGCCCAAGGTGCAAGTGGAGGAGTGGGGAATCAAAGAGCAGATAACAACTATCCTGTATCAAGTACATCTATTCCCAGTGTGCTTCTGGGCTCAATACAAAATGTTGGTTTTAGCCCTTCTTCTTCTTCTTCTTCTTCTTCTTCTTCTTCTTCTTCTTCTTCTTCTTCTTCTTCTTCTTCTTCCTCTTCTTCTTCTTTTTCTCCTTCTCCTTCTCCTTCTCCTTCTCCTCCTCCTCCTCCTCCTCCTCCTCCTCTTCTTCTTCTTCTCCCTATCCTGTATCAAGTACATCTATTCCCAGTGTGCTTCTGGGCTCAATACAAAATGTTGGTTTTAGCCCTTCTTCTTCTTCTTCTTCTTCTTCTTCTTCTTCACCCAATCCCACTACCGCAGGGCTCTGGGTGATGTACAACACAGAGAAAAAACATTAAAACCATGAAATAAGCACATAAATAATGTTAACCTAGCAATCTTAAAAAAAAATCATGTGGCGAAATTACAGTTTCTTCCCAACTCCGGACTGTGGCCACCTCATGGGTATGGGGAGGAGGAATAAAACAACCTGATGGAAGGAGAGTAGGGAGAGTAGGGAGAGCAGGAGTCAGCCAAGGCGGAAGCCATCGCTGTCCTCAACCAAAGGCCCGGCGGAACATGTCTGCCTTACAGACCCTGCGGAACTGCATAAGGTCCCGCAGGGCCTTGATGTTGTTTGGCAGAGAGTTCCACCAGGCTGGGGCCAGGGCTGAAAAAGCCCTGGCCCTAGTCGAGGACAGCCAGGTTTGGGACCAAACTACTTTCAACCAGGGGTCATTTCGTAGAAAAAGAGGTGCAGGAGCTCATTAGCATAACTCATTAGCATAACTTATTTGCATATGCCACACCCCCTGACATCACCGGAAGTGTGTCAGAAGGCAACACCCACCGCTCAGGCTCCACTGGACTGTTTTGGATTGCTAGCTATTGGGGGGCAGGGAACGTGCAGATCTGTCCTCACAGAGGAGGGAGAGCTTGTACCTGAATAACACTTGGTCTTAAAGGTGCCACTGGACTGTTTTGGACCAGGGGGAGCTCTGCAACTTACCTGGCTGCTTCTTGCTCTGACTGAGGGCTGCTGGGAGCAGGGGGTGGGGCTTATTGCATGTGCCTGACCCCTGGGCTCTTTACTGCTGGAGCTCCGCTCCTGTGCGCTCCTGCAGGAAATGACCCCTGCCTTCAAGTATAACCATCTGAGCATCTGAGCCAGTTGGGTGTAGTGGTTAAGAGTGCAGTCTCTAACCTGGGAGAACCGGGTTCGATTCCCCACTCCTCCACATGCAGCTGCTGGTGTGACATTGGGTCAGTCAGAAATTCTGTCAGAGCTGTTCTCTCAAGGGCAGTTCTTGAGAGAGCTCTCTCAGCCCCACCTACCTCACAGGGGAGGGGGGGAGGAGATTGTAGATGAAATGAGCTGTAGCTTAAGTTGGGAGAAAATCTTGTTGGTTTTTAAGGTGCCACAAGACTCCTGATTTCTTATTGCTGCAACAGGCAAAGGCCCCGTTCACACGGGTCAAATAACGCGGAGGGGAGGCGTGGCTATTTCCGCCGTCGCATTCTGATCCAGCATTAGGCAATCAGATGCGATGGCAGCACACCGGGGCTTCCTCCGTCTTCGCGCACAGCAAAGAGGATGACCCGGGGGAATAGCCACGCGCCAGTGCGATCACACTGCGGGAGTCCGTATGCAGCCCGTGGCAAACCATTTGCCAGTAGGTCGTTGCAGGTACCTTTTAAATGCGCATCTTCGGCGGCACGCCACGGGTTGGCCACGGGTGTGCTATGCCTCCCAGATGTTCCGGTGTGATCACGCCCTGAAAATCCGCCCGACTATTGTGCCTTCCGCGGGGCAAATGCTCCGTGTGAACAGGGCCAAACCCAAGCAACCCTTCTGGAATTATTACCATGCCTGCAAATAGAACTGGATCACAGAATTGGGCCACTGTGTTGGAGCAGCATCTCTTAGATTGGGAGACTGGAGAATCTGCACGGGCCACGCTCTGGGAAACATGGGCTGAGCCAAACAAAAAAACCCCAAACTCGCTTCGGGGAAACCGCCTGCATAAAGAACACTTAGTTTCCGGGTCCTTCTGCAAACTGGCCAGAAGGGGGCAGCAAATCCGCTGTAATGGCAGGGGGCGGGGAGTGTGTTGAGGAGAACTGAAATAAATAGAAAATTGTTTCTGCAAATGGGAAGCCGCCAGCAGTTGTGCCCCTGCCCAAGTGATCTAGACAGACCTTGCAGATTGATTATCACCTTGCGCCCTCCCTCTGTCATCCTTGGGTGTCTCTGCCTTAAAGAGTCACACAGCTTGTATCAGGAGGCCCAAACAAGGGAGGAGGAGGAGGAGAAGGAGGAGGAAGAAGAGATTGGATTTATACCCCGCCCTTCACTCGGAGTCTCAGAGCGGCTTACAATCTCCTTTCCCTTCCCCTCCCCACCCTACAACAGACACCCTGTGAGTTAGGTGGGGCTGAGAGAGCTCTTTCGAGGACTGCTCCTGAGAGAACAGCTCTGAGAGAACTTGGGACTGACCCAAGGTCACACCAGCAGCTGCATGTGGAGGAGGAGTGGGGAATCAAACCTGCGTGTCTGGCATCGTGTGTTTGGGTGTATGAGGGCATTGTCTCTACAGGAGAGACCTGCAGAGATGTGTGTCTCCATGGAAGGCCATGTGAAGAGAGGGAGAGGACAAATGGGAGAGAGAGAGGAGGGATCAGAGGCTGGCTCCCAGCTTAAGTCAAAGAGAGGCATCCCATTCAGGGAGACAACACCTAGACACCCTTGGAGTGACGTAGCGCCCCCCAGTGGCCAGGAATACTGAGTTGCTCACTCCAGCACCCACAAGTTAAGAAGAAGAAGAAGAAGAAGAAGAAGAGATTGGATTTATACCCCGCCCTTCACTACCCAAAGGAGTCTCAGAGCGGCTTACCAACTCCTTTCCCTTCCCCTCCCCTCAACAGACACCCTGTGAAGTAGGTGGGGGGTGAGAGAGCTCTCTGGAGAACTGCTCTTTCAAGAACAGCTCTTATCAGAACTACGGCTTGCCCAAGGTCATCCCGCAGGTGAACGTGGAGGAGTGGGGAATCAAACCCAGTTCTCCCAGATTAGAGTCCGTGCACTTAACCATGACACCAGACTGGCTCACTGACTGATACAGTCCTTTCCCCATCCTGAATCTATTGCCTATCAACTTAATTGGGTGCCTTCAAGTCCTAATACTATGGGACTTCGACTCAATTTGCTCAATTGTTTTCTTATGATATATATCCGGGGTCTGCAAGGTGGTCCCTATGGGCACTTTGGTGCCGGCCAATACAAGGCCTGGCCGCCGCCGAGTGTGTTTAGAAAGTGGGCACGGCCAGGTGGAGCTTTTGCCCAGAAAAGCTTCTGACTGGCCACTGATGATTTGATTGGCAGATTACAAGGCAGTAGGTCATTAAAAAGAGCTTCTTCCTGAAATGTTGTAGAGTTCCAGTTAGAGTTATATGTGACCTCAATCCCTGACGTTTTGTGGCTGGCTCCCCTTCCTGTAGGAGCCACTTTGTGCTTGGCTCCACCTACCTAGCCCTACCTAGCCAGTTTGGTGCAGTGGTTAAGTGCGCGGACTCTAATCTGGGAAAACCGGGTTTGATTCCCCACTCCTCCACTTGCACCTGGCTGGATGACCTTGGGCAAGCCGTAGTTCTGATAAGAGCTGTGCTGTCCTTGAAAAAGAGTAGTTTCTGTCAAGAGCTCTCTCAGCCCCACCTACCTCACGGGGTGTCTGTTGTGGGGAGCGGGAGGGAAAGGAGTTTGTAAGCCGCTCTGAGACTCCTTTGGGTAGTGAAGGGCGGGGTAGGATTCCAATCTCCTCCTCCTCCTCCTCTTCTTCTTCTTCTTCTTCTTCTTCTTCTTCTTCTTCTTCTTCTTCTTCTTCCTTGGCAGCCATTTTATTGTCACACCTTTCACCGTGTGTCAGAATCCCCAAGTTGCCCGCAGACTTCAAGAGATTGGGGACCCCGATATATATTTTATATTTCCATCTCATTCTTATCCCTTCCTCCACAGAACTCTGTGTGTGGTGAATACATGGTTCTTCATGCCTCCATTTTATTTCATTAGGCTGAGGGAAAGTGGTTGGTCTTGGGCTACTCAGTGAGTTTCAGGGCAGAGTGGTGAAATTCAACCCAAGTAAGGTCATAGACGATGGGGATTTCAAAGGATGAGATGGTTAGATAATTTCATAGATGCAACGAACATGAAATTGAGCA